GGTTCAGGCAATTCTCCTGCCTCAGCCTCCTGAGTAGCTGGGATTACAGGCACGCGCCACCATGCCCAGCTAATTTTTTTGTATTTTTAATAGAGACGGGGTTTCACCACGTTGACCAGGATGGTCTCGATCTCTTGATCTCGTGATCCACCCGCCTCGGCCTCCCAAAGTGCTGGGATTACAGGTGTGAGCCACCGCGCCTGGTCAGACATTTCTTTCTTTAATGATGTCAGTGGTCAGGGAAGTGGCTGATAATATAAGGACCTCTCCAATCAGACGTCCTAATCTACCTGCAAAGATAATAATTACAATATAGATGCCAAAAGAGAAGGTTCTGACAAAATAGAACTTCTGAAGCATCGTAAATCACATGACCAATGTTTGTGATCCTCGTTTAAATGTTCATGCGAAGAAGAATAGGGGGTGTAACGAGTTGGACTAAAATTTCTGCTATGTATTGAGAACCTAAGTGTGGGATGCCGTGTTCTGATCTAGAGACACGTGGTCTCCTGGTACTTAAACAGTCTGGCGTCACACATGACATGACCTATATTAAGAGAGACTAGTGCTGAAGAGTTTGGTGCTCAATGAACAGGAGAGGCAGCTGGTGCTTTGAAAGGCAGAGGGGGCACCCTCCCTGATGTCCGGAGAGATAAGGGCTGACAGTTCATGAACTGTGCTTGTCTGGAAGGAAGGCAAGGAGTTGAGAAAGAAAGAGGAAGGCCTGAGATGGGGACTGAGAATATCTTTGGATAATAAGACCAATTACACTGGAGTAGAAGGGTCATTTATGGAACAAAAGATTGTGGATTGTGTTGTCATGGAATTTTCTGGACCACTGTGACCCACTAGTGGATAGTGAAATTAATATAGAAGATTTTGTGCCCTATTTAAAATGTTTTAAAAATAGAATAGGAAATACAAGAGAGCTTCTCAGGGAGGGTAAGTGTTGACTTGTGAAACTTTGTTACATATGTGTATTCTGGGTTGCAGTCTAAAATGTATTCCTTATTGTGGGTCATGCTCAAAAGAGTTCAGAAAACAGTGGACCGGACACTGCTTAAAGCTATCTAAATATCTGTGTCGGCCATTGGCATTTGGCACAGAAGCCTGTGTACTAGCATTTCAGTCTGTTGAACAAATGGAGGGCATTGGGTTCCAGCCCGAGGAATTTGGATTTTATCCTGTAGGCAGTGGAAGTTTTTGAAGGTTTGTGGGCAGGAGGGTAATGGGTCTTTAAGAAAATTTATGTAGCAGTTGTACATAGGATGGCTGGGTTCAGGAAAGAGGTAAGAGGCAGGCAATCTAGTTAGAAGACGTTGACTGGGCCTTGCGTGAGTGACAGTGACCTATGTAGGTTGGTCACAGGGGATGGGAAGGAAAGAGGGCCCAGTAATGACAGTGATGTTTGGTTGGTTGGTTGGTTTGTTGGTTTGGTTGGTTTGTTTTTGAGACAGAATCATGTTCTGTTGCCGTGTGATGGTGCAATCTCGGCTTACTGCAGCCTCCGCCTCCCAGGTTTGTGCAATTCTCATGCCTCTGCCTCCTGAATAGCTGGGATTACAGGCATGTGCCACCATGCTGGCTAATTTTTGATTTTTAGGAGAAATGGGGTTTAACCATGCTGGCCAGGCTGGTCTCAAACTCCTCAGTGCAAGTGATCTGCCTGCCTCAGCCTCCCAAAGTGCTGGGATTACAGGTGTGCGCCCTGCTGATTTTTTTTTTTTTTAATGTGAAAAGGATTTTTGTTTCCTGTCTCTATTTTAGAATCATGTCACTCATAATATTTTAGGTCATCTAATCAAATCAGCAAAAGTGTGTTGACTCTATTTGAAGCATCTGTCATGACTGTTGCATTATCAGTTATTAAGGAGTTCCTGTATGGGGCACAATTTAGCTCTTGTTAGCAGCAGACTAATCTGAAGAAATGACTCCCATGGATAAGAATCTGTCTGAGTGCTGTAGGGCTTTTGTTAGGTCACATCTCACTAAGTGCTGATCAGGTTTGATTCAGTTGGAGCAGAGCACATAGGCTCTTTGGAGATGATTGTTTTAGAGAATAGGGGAAGAGAATAGAAATCAGTGAGCCAACAGCCTTCTCAGAGCAATGAGAACTGCCTCTTCAGATTAGTTTTGATCATCTCAGCTCCATTACCCTTTATTCTTACTTTTGTTTGTTTGTGTATCCTAGGAAGCGGCTCAGCCCCAGGGCAGCACATCACAGCCACCGCAGAACACAGTCATTCCTCTGCCGTCATGCTGGGACCAGTCTTTCCTGACAAATATCACCTTCTTGAAGGTTCTTCTCTGGTTGGTCCTGCTGGGACTGTTTGTGGAACTGGAATTTGGCCTGGCATATTTTGTCCTATCCTTGTTCTATTGGATGTACGTCGGGATGCGAGGCCCTGAAGAGAAGAAGGAGGGAGAGAAGAGTGCCTACTCTGTGTTCAACCCGGGCTGCGAAGCCATCCAGGGCACCCTGACCGCAGAGCAGTTGGAGCGCGAGTTACAGTTGAGACCCATAGTGGGGAGATAGGACCCAGCTGTGCCATCATGCAGCTAACCTCAGACGTGATCATCTTCACCACTGGCTGTGGATTTGATTTCTGGTTATAGAACTAAGGGCAGCTTGCGGGTTAGCTCTGTGACTGCATAGTTCTACGTGCTTTCCCTGATCTTTTGCTGCTATTTGATCTTTAAATTTCTCCTTAGTTTTGGTGAAACTCTCTAAAATACATTCTGATGCAATTTATAAAAATTATGTACTCAAGAAAGGAGTCCTGTTTCTCTCAATTTCTCATCTGTTTGGGAGATGGCTTTAGAGCACTAGAAAAGCACTGGGGAGATTCTCAACTTAAAACATCCAGCCATTTGAAGGAATGATTAAGTACATCAGGGCTTCATAGTAAATGTTCTCTTTAAGTCTTTTAATATTTATAACAATTTTTTTTCCCAGAAGGTTTAGGTTGCAAGTTTGGTGTTTCTTGTTTTTGTTTTGCTTCCTGCTTTAATTCTTTCATTTTCTGTCATTACTGGTATTGACAAATAAAATATCTTTAAAACATCTCCTCTTCAGAAATAGGTCCCCCTTCATTGCCCGTCACTGTCTTTCACTCTCCTATTATTCTGCCACCACTGAGTAAAGGAAGGTAGGAAAAGACAAACGCCTAAGTGCAGGTGTGGGGAGGGGAGGGGTTTCACAAGTCGGTATTGGAGATTTCACAAGTGGCTGTTAACGACCAGTTCAGCAAGAAGTATTGAGTGTGTACAAAGGGGAGAGCTGGAAGTGTAACTCCAGACCTGTTGGCTGCTCGAGTTGTTTCGTACATTCTAAGGCAGCAGTCCACAACCTTTTTGGCACCAGGTACCAGTTTTCTGGAAGACAGGTTTTCCATAGACAGGGTGGTGATGGAGGTGGTGTTGGAATGAAACTGTTCCACCACAGATCATCAGGCATTAGAGTCTCATCAGGAGCACACAACCTAGATCCCTCGCATGCGAAGTTCACAATAGGGTTCTAAGGGCATTAGAATAAGCAGCCTTTTCACCTGTGGGCCTCTGGTGAGAAATTATGTAAATAGTGATAATCAGGCTTGATTGTAATGTTCCTTCCTCTTCCAGTACAGTGTTAGAGTTCGGGTTCATTAAAATTAAGCAAACTCCCAATGGGTTGGAGCTGTTCTCTTTAATTCCATTTTGTAGCTAACCTTGTTGTATTTCAGCCCTTGTTGAAAATTCTTCTGGTAAGTGTTGCTCTTCCTCACGGCACTTTTCCCATTGGGAGTTTGGCTATCCCTCAGAGCCATCCAGTCAAGCACAAGGTCCATTCTAGCTCACAGAAAAGTCTTTTCTTCCACGATTTCTATCTGAACTGGACATGTAGAGAGTATGGGAAACAGATGAATCCCTATTAAACATGAAGTTCAGATTGTATTTAAGACAGAATTTTGTTTTCTGATTTATTTTCTTAAGGCTTTCTTAATTTCACTGGTACTTTCTTTGGGCTTTTCCATTTCATAAAAGCCCAATACGAGGGAATAATTCCCTAATCTAAGTTTTACTGCAGTGCTCAGGGCAGTAAGCATTGCTGTAGGAAAGAACTAATTTGTATTTTTAAAACATAAAATTCAAGCTTTCTCCTGAAATAAAATACCCGTAACTCTGAATTAGAGAGTTTTGATCCAATTAGTAACCCCAGTAGGATAAAGACTTAAGCACGCAGGAGTCTTGACCTGTGGGTGGACCTCAGTAGTGATTTTCGAAATGTAGCTGTTTATGAGGTGGAGTCTAGATTGCCTCAAGCCCACCTTTCATGGGATTTTCTATGAAAAATTTGTCACTTCTCCTTACCTCTTCCTGAAGTTTGCATGTAATGATGGCATTAACTTCTAGGAAAAGTAGGGTGTGAATCAATTAAAGGCTTGACAGGGAGAAGAAGAAAGAACAAGTATTTGCTGCTCTCATCAGACCATAAGGCTTTAGGTGCAGCCTTGATTTCCTGAACTTAGGTCTATTGATCTCAGAATTTCCACTCACAGCCTGACCATTAACCCAGCATGCAGCTTCCATTAAAGGCTGTTGTCATCAGGGAACTTGAAATCCCAGGGGTAGATGCAGTCCCTGTGATAGCTTTATATGTGAGTGAAGTCATTTCTGTCCAAGTCTAACAAGTAACTTGGTTTTTGCTTTTATTCACGTTATCCCGTCTTGCCTATTGATAGGGATGGTTAAATGAGACTCTACATCTAAAGTTGGAAAGGACCCCAAAATGCCATCAAGTTTGTTCTTCATCCCCAACCTTGGGCAGGGCCATCATTTATTCCCAACTGAAGATAATTTGTTTCTAGTGAACCCCTAAAGAAGAAGATTCCAGGTACTTTCTAGGAAGTTCTTTATGTTACTGAAATAACTTTTGCCACCCCCATCCCCACCATCTGGGGTTATTTTGTCTCCTAATCTCAGTGGATGTAGAGTCCCTGGAGGCCTATGTGAGCATCCTTCAGACTGGTAAACTTAGTTCTCTTTTTCTCTCTGTTCTTTAGGCCAAGTCATTGAGCTGTACCTCTGGGACTCAATCACTTTCATGCTGGCCCTGAACCAATCTAAGTTTTTCAGGTTTGGGTGGGGGTGAATGGCCCTGTTGATGTGTGTAATGACCTTTCTCAAAAGCTTTGGAGCTTTGCCAGTGATGACTTAGACATGTGTATTTTATGCTCTTAGAGTTACACTTTGAGAACAGGCAGTCTTACACATTTGCCTTTTGGCTGATCTGTGCATCAATCAAAAAGCTCTGTACTGCAAAATCTTAGAAATTTACACAATTGAAAGAACCAGTGACCTTCAGTTGAGCAGAAGACATCAAAATTCGAGCTATGTGTTTTTAGTTCCTGCCACTCATACCAGCAAATATTTGTAGATGCCCTGGATTTGGCGCTGCTGGGGACACACACACATGAGCTCCGGCATAGGATGAGTATCCCTAAGAGCCTGGGGATGCAGGGGTAGGCTTGGGATGCCATGGAGCATGTTGCCATGAGGGGGTGACATAGAGCTGCCACCATACCTCATGGGTCCCTTCACATCACACTTGAAAATTTATGTAACGTAGAAGACCCTCCGGGATGTTTATCAAAACCACTTGTGCGGCTTTTTCAGGTATTCCTTTCAGTTTAAAATTCACAGAGGAAAGGGCTCATCAGAGGTCCTGGGAAAGGCATAGAGAGCTACCAGAAGTGATTTGTGTATGTCTTTAAAATAAAACAGCAGCCCCTCTCTAGACTTAGCAGGCAGTGTTACAGTTGTCGCACACATCTGAGCTTTGCGAGGGGAGGTGGAATGACGAAGAATTTACATAGTTGGCAGAGAACCAACTCCCTAAGCCAAAGAAAGTAACATTTGAACCATATGCTTTGGTTTCATTACACATACTTTTATTTCACAACTTTGGAGCACTGGGCTACATAAAGACTTGGATCCCAGTCTCAAAAAGCTGAAAGAAGACGAGTGTACGCAAAACTGTAAAGTGTAGGACAATGTGAATGTTTATAAAGGTGTAAGTAGTGTGTGTGTGTTCAAGGGAGAGATCACTTTCAGTCCTAAATTCTCTATATATAGGATTTTCACTTCTATGTGAAAAATACTCTTTCCTTAACGAGTCATGGATGAATATTTTGAAAAGTATGGTCTATAGATCACCTACCTGCATAGGAGTCTCCTGTGGTAATGTTAAAGTGCAGATTCTAGGGCCCCCACTGACTCAGAATGTTTGGGGGTAGACTCCTGAGAATCTGCATTTTAACAGCCTCCCTGGTGTGATCTCTGGCACAGTCTAAGAGCCGCTGACATAAACCATAAATGTTAAAATAGGAAGAAAGTTTAGTGATTATTAAATCCAAACAAAGAAAATTGGTGTGCATTTTTAAAGGGAGCAGTGAGGTTGGCCATTTTCAGACTGTTCATTTGGAACACCAGAATGAGAGAAGAAGAAACATCGCTTTGAAACAATGAGGAACTAACTCCAAAGACTATATGGAAATTAAATGTCCTTTATTTTTGAGGGTCTCTTTAAATTATTACAAGAAGTACATGCTCATTTTAGAACATTTTGGAAATACAGAAAAGAATAAAACATTGTTACACTTCTATGCATATATTTTAGAAGTCAAGAGGTAGTGGGTACATGGCATGTATAGTGAGAACATCTCCCTCCACCCTGCCATGTTTGTTCCTTCTCTCTCAAGCCTGCAAATGACACCATTCCAAACACACTATTCTGTCCCTTGCTTTTTTAGGAGTCTGAGTTTTATGTGCATTTGAAGTTTTTATGTAAGGGAGTGACAGGATCCAATTTTTATTTTTTATTTTTGAGAAACGGAGTTTCACTCTGTCACCCAGGCTGGAGTGCAGTGGCATGATCCCCACCTCCCAGGTTGAAACAATTCTCCTGCCTCAGCTTCCCAAGTAGCTGGGACTACAGGCATGCACCACCACACCCGGCTAATTTTTATATTTTTAGTAGAGATGAGGTTTCACTGTATGTTGGCCAGGCTGGTCTCAACTCCTGATCTCAGGTGATCTGCCCGCCTCGGCTTCTCAAAGTGCTGGGATTACAGGCGTGAGCCACTGTACCCAGCCCCCAGTTTTCATTTCTAAAAGATCACCCATGCTATGGTGGGGAGTAGATTCTCTGTATCATTCATCCATCTATCCACTTACAGAGCATCTAAACTTTGCCAATCCTGGTGCTGGGCTTGACTTCTATAGACATAAAGCAGACAAGGTTCCATTTCTCAAGGAGCTCACAGTCAAATGGGGGAGGTAGCCAGTAACCAGACAGTTATAGTGCAGTATGGTAAGCCACACAGAGAGTATGTCATCTGAATGAGGACCACAGCATCAAAAAAAGATCTTAAATTACAGGTCAAGAAAGGCTTCCTGGAGGCAGTGACACTGCGCTGAGTTTAAAGGAGTACTAGGTACTTTCCCAAAAAAGAAGGTGTGGGCAAAAAAGTAGCATTGTGGTCAGAAAAAAACACCTGAGAGAAAGGTGATAATCATGAAGGAGAATAACATGCTTGCATGCACTCTGAGGACTTAGATGTTAAGGAACAAATAAAAGGAATTGATGAGAGGCAATTTGGAAAGGAATATTGGGTGCCTCTTGCTTTTTGAGCAAACAATATTTCCTAGTCAGCACAAACAATATTATGTCAGCACAGATAGAGCTGCTTCCTCCTTTTTCACAGCTACAGAGTGTACCATTGTATGGATAGATTATAACTCAACCAGTCTCCATTAATGTATATTTAGATCATTTCTAATCTTTTGTTGTTGCAAACAATATACAATGAATATTGTTGCACATACGTCATTTCCACATGTGAATATTTCTCTGAGATAATTTCTTAGATTTGCTGACAAAAGGATATTTGACTGAAAATGTTGACAGGTGTTGCCCTGGATAGTAGTGATTCTCATTAACATTCCTAGCAGCAATGTATGAAAACGCCAGTTTCCTCATACCCCACAACACAGGGTGTTACTCAACTTTCTGTACTTTGCCAATCTGATAGGTGAAATGACACCTCATAGTTTTAATTTAAATTTCTTATTATGGGTGAACATCTTTCTATAAATTTATGAGCCATTTGTATTTATCTGTGAACGTTTTAGCCTTTGCATGATTTCTGTTGCGTTGTTGGGAATTTTAAAATTTCATTTCGGGTCTCTTTGTAAATGAGGAAAACTGGCTCTTTGAATTATGTGTTTTAAATATTTTTGTTCAATTTGTTCAAATTTGTTGCTGTTTTTGTTTCTATGTCAAAATTTTTTGTTGTCAAATTTATGTATTTTATTTTAAGACCTGGGTTTATGTCATACAGCAAAAAAAAATTTCCATGTTTACCTACTGCTTTCATTTTCTATGTCTAAGCTTTTTATCTACCTCGTATTTATTTTAGAGTGGGGTTACAGATAGGGATCCAGCTTTATTTATTCAGGGATCTATTTGTTCAGGTATCTCACTAGTTCCTTCAGCTTCATTTATTAAATAACCCATCTCTTTCCTGCTAATTTAAAAGCCATTTCTTGTGTATTTGTACCAATTTTGGACTTTCTGGTCTGTTCTTTTGATCTGACAGCCTTTTCATATTCTAGTATTTCACTTTTTATTATTGTAGCTTGATGATGTGTTTTAAAATCTGAAGGGGCTAGATACCTCTTTATTACTCTATTTTTACTTTCTTTTTTAAAACTTACACTTAACATGTTTATTTTTTCCCTGTTTGCTTTAGAATTAACTTGACCAGGTCCCCAAAATTTCTGTTGGTATTCTTAATGGTCTCACATTAAATTTACACATAACTTAAGGAGAAGAAATACCTATAAGTTATTGTCTTACTATTCAAGAATACGGTATGCTACCATTTGTTTAAGCCTCTT